AATTGTTTTTTCTCAAATCTTTATAGATAAATATTATCTATTGTTAATTTGTAAAGAAATGGAAAACTATTTCAGAGATTAAGCTTTTCGAGAATGGGAGAAATGAAAAATTGCAAATAATTTTTTTACCAATTATAATTATATATATAGATTTCTGTTACAGGACATCGTAGCCGAAAAATGACTAGTTTTGTAGTTATTATTTATTTTCATTGTACTATATATATATATACATATATATATATGTTTGTACATTTTTTTATATACATATATTCAATACATGATCTAACGATACATTTCTTCTGCTGTTTAGCTACCGGCAAAATTTGGCGGTTGATTTCATCGTAGCAGAATTGGCCTTTGAATCTTTGGACAAGTTTTATGAATTTGTCAATGAATTGGGGTTGGTTTATGCTGATCCTGAACAACATCTAATCGACTGCAAGACAAGCAGTGGTTCTGTAGGTGCTTGGTAAAAAAGCAACATCACTCTTTTTTCGTGGAAGATGTATAAACAAAAATCATTATTGTGCATATTCATAGGCACAAATTTGTGTGTGTATATGCATATGTTTTCCAATTATGCATATGTAGGCTTAACATATGCATATGCATGTGCATATATTTAATTACACATTGATCACTGATAATTCTTACCATCCCCTAATCATTGTTCTCTTCGTTGATCGACGCTACAACAGTCGAGCAACAATTTGTAAATGAAAGTTTTTCCCGCAATAATTTGTACATATACGTGTTTCAATCTCAGCCCAGCGCAAACGAAGAATGCATTTACAGGCTGATGTGAATTGTACAAAAAAATTAGGATGACCGTTTTAAAGTCATCCGTAACTACCTCAATAGACTTCGGTATGAAACCGAGTTCGTAGTAAATTACGAAAAGAGAGAGAAAACAATAGAAAGTTATCTTCAGAAAACGAATACTTCTTGTTTGGTCAAAACTTCAAATTTCTTTGGTCACAGCTGATCGATTTTCTACAATTTATTCATGTCATATATGAATTTTTAGTCTTATCTCTGGTAATTTTTTTCCAAACAAGATCCACTAAAAGAAGTCGGATTTTTTTAACTATTTATCAAATCTTTTGCTCTATACAAGGATCTACGTTTCGTCATTTCGAAGAACTATCGATTCGTAGTATGAATTCGCAATTATTTCTACGATAAAAAATATAAAGAATTGAAATCAATGAAAATGAATATATATAATCACTATGAAGGGTTTTTCGGTAAAAATTAAAATTATTGAGGGTTTGACAAGAAATTGGCATGCTCGACATTTCGTTGATGAAGAAAGAAGAGAAAAAACGTGGGAAGATCAACAAGTTTTAATTTGGTGGTAATAACAACATGAAACATATGTTCTAAGAAAAAGAAAATATTCGACGAATCGTGTTCAAGAATCAACAATTAGAAACTTTTAACGGGACAAATGCATATTGGTATCTAAATCATTCTCGTGTGTGAAGAGTGATTATTTTTATCTTTCTAAGTGTTTACTACAGGACAATGCTTTTTTTCCTTAACAGTTTGTTGTCGATTCTCGAGTGTTGAGAATTTTATCTTTATGTTTTATCCAAAATACAGGAGTACAGAGGTATATAATGAAAGAAGAAAGATTTCATTGTACGATCACATTTGAATATAGTGTTGTACGTAATAAATTATTTAATTTTTGAATATTATATTATTTTTTAATCTATGTTGAAAACCTAATATATTTAGATGAATCTAAATTATGATTTTATTATTAATAAACAAAATTTATTATGTATATTTAGTATTTGAATAATGAATGATTACTAAAATCTATAATTTTTTTTTAAGTCATTAAAAATTATTTTGATATATGGCAGTCAAGATGTAAATCTATTCCCAATTATATATGGAAATATAATAGATCTTTCATAAATCATAAATCTTCAATCATTTAATTTATAATATATGATTTTATATTAAAAGAGTTAATTGATAATTAATAAAAAAATAAATACTCTTCTCTATTATTATAATACTAATAATTCTCTACACAGAGGACATGAGTTTATTTCAATTTAATATTTATATTTTATTTTAAAATAATAATTAAATAATATATATAAAAATTATTTTTTTATATTTACATGCAATAAAATAAAATTTTTATTATATAATTCAGAAAAAATAAATATATTGTGTTAAAGAATACAGGTTTGTTGCAATTAAATTATTAATTATATTGCAGATATGGAAATTGAATAAAACATATTTTAATTAATTAATTTCAATAATTAATGATCAAAACCTGTTTTTTTATTGAATTTACAATATGATAAGTTTGTATAAGCAATCAACGCAATTACTTAATATAGAATTTTTTTAATCAGTTCTTGTGCATAAATGGCCAATAAAATTGTGCGATGTTACAGCTGAATTTTAGTTTTTAAATTCATCGGCACATAAGTATTTAAATTACATTTTTTTTTTCTAATCTTAGATATGTGTATAAATAATCATTGCGTCGTAATGCATATAATAAATTCTATTTCACACGTTTCCAAAACTATAAAATTTATTAAAATTTCAATAAAATAAATAAAAATATTACTATAATAGAAAATGAAACCTATGATTTAATAACTTAACATTTTTTTTATTCGTTCCATAAAAATCAAAACACTTGCCAAGTGGAATATACAGTTATTAAATTGTTTCCAAATACTTTCACAGGTTTCGAATATTTTAAAGAAATATATTGTGTAAAAGTAGCTAAGATTTGATTTCTATGATGCCTGTTATAGCAAGTTATAAAGTACGTAATAACCTGATATATTACGAAATTTAATTATTCACTTCGCGTTATAAGAATTATATATGTTTTTGCAAAAATATATATCAATTGCATACATTAATATCATAAATAATAAAAATTCGCAAAGAAAAAAGATATCTTTTTAAATTTTAAAAATCATTTAAACTAAATTTAAATTTAATTATTCAATAATAATACTTTTGTCAATCTTTAAAAAAAACTTTTTTGATAAAATTTAGATCTATTATGAAATTTTCAAATTATCATTTATCATTTATCGTAATATTCATGATATAATAAATATAAATTTAATAAGCAATTATATTATTTAACATATATAATTCTTAATACGACTATATCGTTATTTGATATGATACAATTACTTACATTATTCAAATAAAAAATGTTAATAATGAAACGTACTAAAAAGAAATTAAAGTGACTGATAATATCATTGATACAGTAATTTATACGGATAGGGACACAAAACTATTATACTGGGTGATGTTGCGTTTCAAAATATCTGCACACGGTCCTAAAACTCGTTCAAATCTTGCTCTATCAAGTTTTACACACTTTAAAGGACCTCGCGCAACAACGGTTGCTGCCCTTGGCCTATCCAATAATAATGCAATTTCACCTGCAATCAATAGAAAATTATTATTAGCATAATATTAAATTTTTTTCAAAATTTATAATTACTTAATTGCATAATTATTAATAATAATTTAAAAATATACCGAAATAATCAGATGGTCCTAAACGACCAACTTCCGCTAGTTCTTCACCTTCTGAACGTTGTTGTAAAACAACAGCTGTACCCTCAACAATTATATAAAAATCTTCACCTGGTTCACCTTGTCGAACTATAGTTTCACCATCATCAAATGCCACTGGTTCTAAAGCATCAGCTACTGTGAGCCGTTCCCACTTATCCAAAGATTCTAAAAATAACAATTTTGTATAAAATATTCATAATAATTCTAATATATTTTCATGGAACATAAGCATTATTTACCCAAAATTGAAACTCTGGAAAGGAATTCTTCGTACATCTTTCGTTTTCTTATAGTAGAACCCATAAGGATTCTTCGATAAGAATCTCTATCGATACCCCATAATTTCACATCTGTTTTTGCTCGAACAGTTGCAGCACGAGGAGTCCCGTATATTAATGCAAGTTCACCAAAACTTCCACCTTCTCCTATTGTTGTGGCTAATTCACCATTAACAAAGATTTCGACTTCTCCTTGATCGATTACATAAAAATTGTCACCTTCGTCGCCTATTAATATTTGACAAAAAATATTTGATTCAAGCAATTAAAAATATTCGGTTAACTATTGTTAATTAATTAATTAATAACAATAGTAATGTATTCAATATATATATTTTTAAGTACCTTGTCGAATAATTGCTTCTCCAGGCAAAAAAGTAACAGGAAACATAGCATCAAAAATATCAGAACGTTCATTCTCATCAAGATGAGCAAAGAGAACATTTTTAGCAATCGCTTTACTCAGGGCAGCCATTGTTTTATAATCCTTAGGTACGACTTTTTTAACATAACTAGTCGCATCTTCTTCGGAGACCGGCTCCGCAGAGATGCCTCCTCTGCGTCTGGGAACTTGGGGGCCTTGTTGCCCAGCAGGTATGTCCTCGGTATCTTCTGGGCTAGTTGCAATCTGTTGCTTAGCATCATGAGCCTGCTCCTGAAATCAAAAAAACGAAAGTCAATTAGTTTCATTACTTATATAATATATACTTTTATTATTATTTATTATTTATTAGAGATAACTTTTATTATATACTTTATTCGATATATGTTATATATGTTTTGGTTTTTGTCAAAAAAAGAGTTTATCAAAGAAATCATTTTTTAAAATTAATTTAAAAAATATATATATATATATACATTGCTTATTATATATATTTTTTAATAATTATATATTCTCCTTAAATATTGCTCTATTTAAGAAATATTCCTTAAATAGATTAGATAATTTCATTTTCATATCTATTTTTTTTATTTATATTATGTAGATTAAAATTCATTATCAATTAGAAAATTGAACGCTGTTCATGTATTTTGCTTTACTTGCCTGTTGCACCATGTCGAAAGCTGATGTTTTCCTAGTTTTAATTAGTATCTTCGATTTTATATCCAATCAATCAATTTTTTTTTTAAACTTTTGCTTATTATTTATTTATTCCAAAACGATGCAACCCTGAAAGAGTCACGTAAGACAAACAAGCCGCTTTTATAAGTCAATTTTGCTTAGACATGCGCAACACACAATATTGTGCCCTTCTTTTAATGAAATCATATTTTCTCAATTTCTTAAATATATATATACATTGCAAATATAAACAACATATATTAATGAGATCACAAAAAATATGCATTATTTTTTCCACAGAAAAATTTGATATAACAAGAAGATTTCTACTTTTTAATTCATAGTTAATAATTTTTAAATAACAAATAATATAGTTTACTTTATTTTTAGTATTCTTACTTTTTCCAATGATAAGTAACATCAAATTTTTAAAAATTATTCTTTTTTAATGCATTTATAAAAATTTAAATGATTAATCTTTCAATAATAAGAAATAATAAAATATATTTCATGAATAAAAAAACTAATGCTTTATCAGATATTTTAAAGTGAATTTCGTTAGTATATATAGAGAAACAAATAAAGAAATTTCTATTGAATATTTTTATAAGTATTATTTTATATTTTTCGAAAATTGACTACTTATTATAAAAGTATATTGGATAAAATATTAGCTTGTGAACGATGAACATCGATGAAAAGGTGGGCAAATAATGTCATAGGTCACTTGCCGTTTTTACAGATGAATGCCACCTTATATATGCGCAATATAACATAAAAACATTATAATAATATGATTTTTTTCTGAATCTTGTATATTTTATTAAAATTCAATTAGTTCAAGTTGAAAACAAAATGAACGCATCGATGTATGATAAATTTCCATTTTATTCATGACTTTTAATTCTCGTGAATTTTGATAATGTTTAAATATTCATAGAAGATAAGATCTTGAATTTTTCCTTACATATGCAATTGTTAGTTGGTCTTAATTTTTAATATATTTGTAAACATAATTGTTATTATTATAATAAAACTTAGCATTAAGTATTAAGTAAAAACCATTACATTTAATATTTATTCAAAATATAAAATAATGAGCGATCGAAATAACAATAATAAATATAAAGTACATTTTAGATACCAACAATCATAAATCGTATTTTTATATTGATTAAAGTTGTTCACAAACTATTTGCAAACTATAGAATTATTATATAATATTCATACTAAACAATTCATAAACAGATTCTTATTATTTGGAGATGAATTTGCTGTAAATAATTTATTTATTCACACTGTTAGCAATTACATTTTACGAGCTGTTGTGTGAATAGTAGTATGAACGCGGTATGATACACACGCTGTCAAGGACATATAAGTGAAATTTAATGTAGTAGTAGTATAATTTTTTGCAAATATTTTAAAAACAAAGATTAACCGATGATATAAGAACTGATATATAAGAAAAACTTACTTAAAATTTTATTTTCTATAACATAATTTTTTTTTTATAACATAATTTTTATTTTCTATAACATATTTTTAAAAATCATTAAAATCTATAAGTTATCCATCGATATAATGATCAAATATTTATATACTCGTAAACAGTAAAATAAATTAGGAATTATTCGTTTTTTTTAAATTATAAATTAATTATATATTTTTTTTTTAATTATAGATTATATTTAGAAAAATTAATCGATTAAATATTAATTTATATCGAATAAATATTAGTGATTACAATTATTTCAAATTAATTATCAAAAATTTTGTTAAAAATCAATTTTTTTTTTGCCATCCAGCATTATGTTTACATTTTTATATTAATTATTAAGCATTTGCAAACTATCAAACAATAATTATCTATAACAACTATACATTATTTTATATTTTTTAAATTTTATTAACTGATATTAGTTAATATTAAAACTAAATTTTTTAAAATAAGCTATAATAAAATAATATCTTTATATAAATTATATAATAAATATATTAAAAAGATGATTTATGCAAAAACATATATATTTAAAACATTTAAAATAGTACTATTTTATGAAAGTGTGCGAGTTCATTAACAATAATATCAAATTTGAAATAGTAAAACAATAAAGATCAATTGATCAATGATTTTAACACGTGCTGAATTTATTTGACATGCGTACAATTAAATACCATGTGCATTATATCATAAAAAATAAAAATTCACATCTATCATTAGATTATTTTTAATAAATTATACTAAAATTCCATTCCATGTTTCATGATTTATTTTTTCATAATAATTATATAAAAGAAAATAAAAAATATTATATTGATTATGTTATGCTGCACATAAATTGCTTAATGACCATTAAAACAAAGCAATAATATAAAGTATCAAAACATAAATTTGAAATTGTTCGTTGCTCAGTAAATAATATATTCAAAAATCGGAAAATTACATATAATGATAATATATGCAGAAATGATAAAACGTATAAAATACGTATTAAACAATATAAATTTTGTATAAGATTCGATCATACCTCATTCATTATATGTTGATATTAACTCGATATTTAACACAAAACAAGCAACGTCTCTTTTATTCAGTTATTACATAAATTTCTTTGTTAACACTTGTTTCACATACCCGAATAATTGTGAACGAAAGAAAGATACAAATCACAACTATGAATCTTTTCTGATCGCGCGTTATATATTCAATGTGTGTCGCTTGAATTTTCTAAGGTCTCGCCAAATTCGATTAATGCGACACGATCTTTCGTAGTAGTTACTTGTAAAGTTGGTACTGTGTGCCAGATGATATTTTATGTCATAAAATAACGATATTTTTCGTTAATGTAAAATCGAATCTATAGGTCATTCATTTACAGATGAAATCCGAATGGATGACAACGTACTTCTGATGTTGCCTGTTTTAAACATATTGTCGCAGTGCGCTTCGCACATTTTTGAGGACGATGCGTTAAATACCTATACAACTTTTGTAGTTGTTGGCTAAGGTACGCGCTTAGTTATATTTTGAGCATATGCTATATTTAGATCAGCCCCTGTAGTCACACATATTCTCTTTCGATATATGTGTATAGCTATGTGTATAGTAATAAGTATATAATAATAAGAACTGATGTCAAGTTTCTTTTTTTGTTGCTCTCATATTATGTTTATTTAAAATGAGAAATAAAAAATATTAATCATTTTATGCGATATAAGTTTATTCATAATACAATACAAAAAAAAAAAAAATAGCCAAATATTCAATTTTTTTTATGAAAATCTTAAATCTTAATAATAATGTTGCAAAATTCCAAGGAAAATATATATATTTAAAAATTACATTTTTAAATATATATAATTACATATAATTATTTTAAAAACATCTTTTTTCATTATAACGAGAATTAAAAAAATTAAAATGTAATATTGATTATTGTTAAAATAAGTATTGGTTATAAATATTTATATATAAAAGCACAAATGTTTGATGATAAAAATAATGGAAAATAATAGAACTTTTATAACTAATAATATTGACCGCTACTTATCTATTTAAAAAAACTAATAAAATAAAATGAATATTAAATAAATAAATAAATAGTCAAATAATTACATTAATATTAAAAAAAAATATTTAAAATTTTATATATAAATCTCTAAATTTTCTTTCAATTTCTTTGATCATATTTTGTTTTATTTTAATTCAACAATAGCAAATTTTTAAATGATTGTTTGTTTAATAAAAAGTACTTCACAATATCGAACATTTATTAAATAATATTATACATATAATATTAAATATTATGCACATATTTAATATATGTATAAAATTTTTTTCTATAACAGTATTGGTATATTAAAGCATGATATCCAAAAAAAAAATAAATAAATAGATTATAAAATGTACAAATTAAAATGAAAAAAAATTAAGTTTTTGTTGCATTATTATATTTCATTTATATTATGTTAAGTGCATTTTATTTTTATTTTTATTGTACAATGAATATAATTTTCAATTTAATTATTTTTTTTAATTAATTAATTATGTAAATAAAAAATGTATTTAATTATGGATATATAGTATAACTTTTTTAAATACAAAATTTTTAATTATAAAATAAAATTTATTAAATTATATACGTATATGTATCAATCTATTTATATTGATCAAAATAATTTGTTTATAAAATTGCAAATAAATTTTTTTCATAATAATTTTATGCAAAATTACAACTTTGTATTAATAAAATAAAATAGCAGTAAGACTTATTGTATAGTATAATATATATGCATAGTTTTATTAATCTTAACATTTCCTAATTCTTTGATAAATCTATAATGTAATATATATAATTTATCTGACAAATGATATTTTTTTATTACATTTATATTATTGTAAGTAAATATTTATCTTTAAAATAAGAGAAAATATATCATAAAAAACTAAATTATTATATTTATAAGTAACGATGAAATAAGTAAAAAATAAGAAATCTAAGGTTATTTTAATAGGACATGATTCAATACATACCCGTTCCAGTTTTTGAAAGTATTCTCTCAGGAAAGATATGGGATTTTCAGGACGACCTACACACAGCTGCACTATACAGTCTTTTAAAACTTGTTGAATATTGTGTCTTTGTACGTATTCCTCGCACTCTCTTAAACTTTGCTCTTCCTCGAGATTCGCCGCCATATTGATACACGAGTTGACACGTTATAGCAAATACCTCTTCAACAATTCCGTTCTTGGCTTTAATAGTGTAAATATATTATTTCTTATAGTTACTTCAATTGTTTTATATAAAGAATATCGATATATTTAAATATTTATATTTCTCATTACAGTCTATAATTAACAAACATCCTTTCCGAAATTTTAATTTAATGAATATTGATATTACATATATATATATATATAAGTAAAGTTGAAAATAAATTTTTTTTTTATTTCATTTTTGTTTCAAAACATACATTTATAATTGTTTAATAATTTAAATAATATAATAAATTTTTTATTGAAATTTAATAAAAGAAATGTTCTAATATATGTTTTTAACTTTTATATATAAAATATTATTTTTTATACAAAAATATTTAAATAAAAATAATGAAGTTTTTTTTCTTTCTATGATAAAAATGTAAATAAAAATTCACTACATATAAAATATAAAATATAATTAATAATATGTACTACATATGGGTAGGTGGTAGGAAAATTCAAAAAATATTATAAATTTACATTTATAACTTCTAACAATAATATATTTTAAAACATATTGTCAATGGGTGGATAAACATTATAACACATAAACTATATTTTAAAATATATGATAAAAATGTTTTTTGTTTGTTTTTTTGTCTTTGATAATTGTATCTCTGTAATCCCATATCATTCTGATATCAATTTAAACAAAGTTTTTCATTATTTAAATAAAGAAAAAGAAGAAATGGGATTTCAGAATTATCAGTTTTAAATTAAAATATCATTTAAAAAATGTGTATATATTCTATATACATAATATATGATGTATATAAAAAAAAATATTTATATGTAAATATCAATACATTGTAGAATTCACAAAAATTGTATTAACATTATAATAAATTTAATTTAAAATAGTTATAATAATATAAATTATATCATCTATATTATATTTACTAAAATTATATTTCTATTATATTTTGATTAAAAATTTATCAAATTAAATATATTTCATGTATTTTTTATATTTATATATAAATAAATATTTATTATTAAAAAGTTATAGAAATTTTCGTGAATTCTTCAATGATTTTATTTAAAAAAGTAATTTCTTAAATAATAATTAATGATAAATAAATATGTTTATCATTGTTCAATTTTTATAGTTCAATTACTTATTTTACTTATTTAATCTAATTGTGCAGTTTTTTTTAATAATAATCTAAATTTAATTATAGAATACATGCGATGTATATATATAATAAAAAATGGCAATGTTACAGAATATTGCAACATATGCATCTAATAATTACAATTGCTTTAACAATGCATTGATTTGCATGCATGTTGGAATTACTATGTTCCTTTATTATTACATTTTTATTAAATCTAATCATTTTTGCAAATCTAACAAGTGATTAACTATGAATAATACTTCCCTGTATCCGAATTTTTTTTTTATAGTTTTGAATTTTCTAACATTAAAATTTATAAAATTCACCGCAATGTTTCTATAATTAAATTCAATTAATTAGTTGCACTTAATATCTAAATTATATTATTACTCAATATTATATGCATATGCTCATTTTATGAATAAATAAGATTAAAAAAACAATTATTTTATTAAAAATATAATAAAATAATTTTTTCTAAAGTGCCTTTTAGCTATAATAAATAATATTATAATATTAAAAATTCTGACCATAATAATAATGTAGTAGTTTAATTAGATTTTAAGAATAAAACAAACAAAATTAATTATATTTTATATATAAAAACAATTTCTTTTATGATTGTATTGTAATATATATATTTATAGGCACTTTCTACAATTCTAATTGGGTATCTTTAAAATGTGAAAATTGGAAATGAAATTTTTAATAATTTTTTTATTAAAATTCTATTAAATTTCTATGTAAATGCTAAAAATGTTTCTTTAAATAGTAAATCATCAACTAAGAAAGTTAAATAATTAATTAAAGAATAAATTATACATATTCATATACATAATTATAAGCACACACAGTTTTATTACTTTTTTTTGAGATGATTATGATAAAATTGTCATAATATTTTAACGATAAAAATTGTGTATCATGATTAATATAAAGTGCAGTTTGTTATCTAAACAGCATTTGTTTTATTTCTTGATTTATTATATATTTATTGCTCTAAATAGATTTGTAAATTGATAGATTAATTGCACAGAATGTGTTTTAAGTAACTTTTAATGTAATTAGTAATATTAACTTTTAAATGTGATAAATGGGAATGAAATCGTAATAAGTTATGTATAATAATATAATAAGTTATCATGCATAGTAGAATTTTCATATAATAAAAAAAAAACCTAATAAACAACATTTTAAATCTATTTAGATTTATATTAAATGTAAAAATTAAAATTTATTAAAAAAATGCTAGCATTCAGAGAAAAATAATTAACAATTTAACTATTTATTAAGTTTCAATAAATTAATTTTTTCCCTATAATTTCTCTCTCATTTATATATATTTGTAAATAAAATTGTTTAATAGATGGCCACCATGGTCTGTTAGTACTACTTATTGCTATTAGATAGTTATATGTATAATTTATTTCTCTTAAGTAATACTGATTTATAATTAATATCAAGTTAATATAATTTTGAATCTGTAAATCTTTAACGTAATATGAAATTTTCTAATGCGTATTTGTTAATATTAAATGCATAAAATTTGCTGTTCTAAAGAACTATGCTTAACTAATGAATTTTTTTAACTTATTAATTACATCTTGTTCATGGTTTTTAAGGCACCAGATATACATGAAAAAAAATTTAACACATAAATATGCAACTTATTGCTTAGAAAAGATTGCCTTATCATTGGAACTTAAAAATCATGAACGAGCACAAGTTTTTTTTTAAATTTCTAACTTAAGATTTCTTTTTCATAATAAATGCAAATATAATTATTACATAAAAGAAAATAAAAATTTTAAAATTAAAGTAACAATATTTGTATTTTATAATTGATTTAAAATATATCAATAAAATATAAATTTATTCAAAAATTTCTAATATATTGAATATAAAAAATAAATAGTAGTACTTAGTTAATAGTAAGGTACACAATAAATAAAATAATTTTTAGTAATAAACTCATTAAATATGAAATTTTACTATTATTTTATAGATATAAAATTAAAAACATAAAAATAAAATATTTATAAAATTTTTATTCAAAAACAATAAAGAACTTTTTTAAAAATTGACTAGTATTTCATATCGTTAATCTAATTTATTAATTAGAATATTTCTGTTTATGCAAATATGCGAATATTGAACAGTGATCCATTTTCTGATTTATTTGGCAATAATACTTACTTCAATTTTATGGAGTTGTTGATGTTAAAAATGTTGGATCAACTGCAGCAACCTTTGCAGTTAAAAATGCATGCATACAGAATAATAAATTCTGCAATTGAGAACATTCCAATTCCTACAAATGAAATGTAGAGAAAATAAAATTTATATATATTATTTCTGCTTCTAATAAATAAATACCTTTGTCTCAATAGCAATACTATCTGATTCTTGAAAATGTAATTTTAATCTACTTTTTCCATCATCACTAGATCCTCTTAATTGTGAAAATTTATAACGCCATACAGTCTCTCCAATGTCATCATAAGAAAGTGTAAAACCTTGAGTCCATTCTAGAGTTAAACCTGCACTTTTCCCATTAAAAGTAACTGGAAATGTTTTACTCTATAAAAAATAGAAACTTGTATAATAATAATAAATTTTAAAAATAATTTTCAACGAAACACATAAGAACCGATTACTAACTTTCAAATGTGTAACAGCTGAACATACTGCAGTATGCCATGCTGCTTCTACTCTTAATAGTTCTTGTCTAGTTTCGACACTTAAATATCGCGGTGGTTTACCTGGACTTTGAGCTAAAAAACAATGTTGTCTTTCATCAACATTTTCGGATTCTCGCATTACGCGAAACATTGTTTGATATACTTTAAAGGTCAATGCACATCGTGACCAATCTCCTATATTGCACTAGAAATAAATTGTTGACATTTATGCACAACATGCATTATTAAAATTTATTAGATATATGTTAATTATAATATTACTAACACTTACAGGAGGAGTTTCAAATAATAACAAATCAGGTCCTTTTAATGCTAAAAATCTTGGTCTATAACTTTGCCATGGTTGATTACTATTACTTACTGCTTCATTAACCCATCCCATATATTCTATACGTTCACCAACTCCAAAATTGCGGTTATATAATTTCATCTAAAAAATAAATAACTTATAAACAATTATATAGTTATTACTAATAATAATTAATAATAATAAATTAATTCGGAAAAGAATATTTTTCACCTGTAAATGCGTTAAACCTGTAATATTATCTGTTATATATTTTAACCATTGACTTAAAATGGCACTATCATCACAATGAATTACACCTGTACGTGCACCATTTAATCCTCTTACTTCAAATGCATTTCTTCTTAGTTTATCTGTTCCAAAGATATATCTTGTCACATAAGCCATCATTAATGGAACTGAAATTACATAATATTCTTAGAAAAATTATTTATCTTAAAAAATTTTTCAAGAAAAAAAAATGATTAAAACCTGTTATAACATCTATCCATTTTTTATATTGCATTGAAGTGGCAGATGCATTTGAACTTTGTCTACTATGACCACATCTAGAACTATCACTTTGTCTATTAGATGATAACCATTCATCTTCTGATCCTCCATTTGCAACGTTGTCTAATTTTTCTTCTTTTTCTAAAAATTATATTATTATTTAAAATCAAAATTATTAAAAAAATGCTTAAAATTTATTAAATGATATTTACCATTTTTTTGTAGAAATGGCTTTGCTGCACGATAATGTTTTACTGTTAAAACTACTATATCACCAGCATTTCTTAAAATGTTGACAGCATCATCATGATTACATGCAGTTATATATTCTCCATTTACTAAAATAAAAATATTATTTATAAAAATAAAATTATATATTTTACAAATAATTTTATAACTAAATTTTATTTTTAAAATTTTATAAGATTGAATTATTTTAAATAAAATAATTTTCATTATTTAAAAGTAAAATTTTATAATATATAATATATAAATGAATAGTCAATACAGAAATATTATTTCAAAGAAAAAAGCCAATATTGACAGGTATGACACAAATAGGCATTCAAGACTATCTATTATATAAAACAGTATATGTACAACCAATATGTTTTTCATTGGTTTATTTTCCATTATGGAAATAAAAATCTATATTATTTATATACAAAAACATTTATTTTTTTAATATAAAAAAAATTTTTTAATTTTTTAAAACATTACTTTTTAATAATTAGTATTTAATATATTATTAAATCTATATTAATTTTATTAAATTTAATAATATATATTAAATTAAACCTTTAATAATCGCATCTCCTACAAATAGTTGGCCACATTGATCAGCTGCTTGGCCTTTATAAATTCTAGATATAAGTACAGGAAGTTTATGTTCTGCTCCTCCTTTTATACTTAATCCTAAGCCTCCAACTTTTTGTCTTGTAATTTGTACCATTCTTTCTTTAGCATCTAATGGAGGTTTATTATGATTCGCTGCCTGCTGAAAGTCAATAGTATTTTTTTTGTATGTTGTATAAATAAAATCTTATGATATAAAACAATAATATTATAAACTTTACCTCTAAATCTTCTCTTTGAAGTTTTAAAACTTCCATAGACAGATGTAAACGCATTGGTACTGGTTTACTTTTTCCATCACTAACACTCACCATTCCTGTTCTTACCTTTTCAAATATATAATAAAATATATTGAATCTTGTATATTTTAATTAAATTAAATATCTTTAAATTAAAAATAAAATTTTTGTATTATAATTGTTGTATATATTATTCCAATGGTTTATACATTTATTATATTTTAAAAATATATATTTAAACAATTCATTTTACATTTACAATTTCATATTATTATATTATCATATTATTATCATCTCTAAACTAATATTTTTTTTCTTTATATATTTTATTATTTACATAATTGCAATTGAAATATGAATATAAAAATACTATTAATAATAATATTATTATTATTTTTAAAATGCACTTATAAGATAAATAATTTCTAAAATTAAAAAATATAATTTTATGTTTATTTTATCATTTTATTTAAGAGAAAGTCAACAACAAATTTAATTATAAAACAAATATTATCTTTCATATTTATATGAATTTGAAAAAAAAGATAGATAAAATATATTTAGAAAAATGAAAGATATTAATTTCTCACCTTCAATTTCTGATCAATCTTCTCCTCGATCGGAGTACTCATTTTTGTTGCGTTGATTCTCATTATTTAATATAATTATGCAACTAATAAATGCAAGTCCCCGTATTGCTGAACGCAAATTGCCGGGGTTAATAAAGCTTCGTAAATTAGTGATATAACAAGAAACATATTAATTTCACACAAATTGTTCAACACAATTACGACAAGTATTCGAACAATGAAAAAATGAGATCATATTCTTATTGCTTATTAAAAAAAATGCATCAACATATTCATAGAAAATATATAATCGAGAGTATTTTAATATAAGACACATTCATTACAAGTTTTTATTTTTCAAATTATACATTATGATGTTTTAAAACACTCGAATAAAGCAAAAACCCCGTAAACCGGACGCAGAAAAATTGGAGTAGGCTAAAAGTAGCTAAAAGCCCGCGGCTGAGACGCATCGATTTATACAATGCAGTGCGCATCGATGGTACTTCATTTGCTTCAAATTGCGGGAAACACAAAAATTGAAAATGACAGTCTTAATATCAATTATTCGAATGTTATTTATATTTTATACATTATTTGATAAAACTATAACATATGATATATTCAAAAACCTTAATGCATGAAAAGTGATACACAAACAAAGTAGATACTATTATATTATATTTTTTGTAAATTTAAATTACTGATACTAATATTTCGTTTATTGTATTATAATATACAATAAATTACAATATTTAATTCTATTTCTAAAAACACAAAAAAAAATGTGCATTACATATATAGAAAAAGTTATTAAGACAAAGTATTTATTATATTAAGTAATGCACATTTATTACATGAAACAATATTAAACAAAATACATAATACGAATTTTTATTAAATATGTGACTTGATTGTCATTTGATTTTCTTTTTCTAAATGCATAATTAAAGGAAAGAAATATTTTTTCTTTTTATTAACAGTGAATAAAAAAAATAAATCTATACAATTTCGTACTTTTTTTATATAAATCACTTTATAACTAAGTTTATTAATTATAACTTACATTGATTTGTTTTAAAATAAAAAAATAATTTTCCATAATATTTTTATAATTATTTTCACATTTGTTATATTTTGCATTTTGCTATTTCATTGCAAGAAAAATGTGCGATTAATAGCTTGAATAAATTAAAAAATATTATATGTATATATATTATACAATAGAAATATTTTTTATTAAATAAATTTAAATAACAATTTTTGAAATAAATTATTACGAGAACATGATTGTTTTTAGAAAATCATAGGATGCATTTATAACTCCCCAACTTATAAATGATCTTATACAATTTAAATGTACACCTTTGTAAAATGACATTACATTTCTATTTCTTGCAATGTATATTTCTCGAGTAACACTCATAAACTTCTCAAAGTTGCCTCCTATTTTTGATTGCATATGTATTTTTATTACATTCATAGGATAAAATATAGTACTTGTGAAACCACCTATTAGAGCACCATTAATAAAACTTGTAGATAATGATTCTTGTTCACCTATCAATTTTTTTGATTGTTCTTTCAAAATAAAGAACATAAGATTAGAACAACTATTTCTATATATAATTGGGACTAATCCACGATAACATTCTGATATACCATGGTTTTTTAATAAATATTTAAATGCATGAGAAGTATTTTTAAATTTATCATGATACCGCCAATCTTGTAACAATGTTTGTACCCTTTCAAGGGGCATAAGTATAGCCTCAACAGTACCAGCAAAATGCGCTGCTAATATTCTAGTTAATACATCATTATTTGTTAATGTACACAAACGTTCCTTGCAACCTTCATACATACTAAACATTACACTAACCGAAAGAGTTTTTTGGCAAAGAGGTGGTAAAATTCCACGATATATTAATCTTATTCCCTCTCTGGATATTTGTTGAAACGCAGTATTGACTGGAACATCTTCTAAAATCTGTCATAATGATAAAAATTTATTTATTTAATAAATTTATCTAAAATATTAAAATATTATTAAATAATTTTTCTTATATACCTGTCTAAATATAATTTTATTAATAGGAAAAGTAATAGATACATTAATTACTGCAGCTCCCCAACCACAAACAAATTCTTTAAAATCATTATTATTAAGTGTTAATAACGATCTTAATGAGACATTTTGTGAAGCAATGTTACTCATATTAATATTTTATATAGTAATTCTTTCAAACTATAATTTAGAATGTACAATCAATCATATTTATATCTTTCAAATCATTCTCCTTAGAAGGTTTGAACTAAATATATCGTTTATCTGTAATTAATAAGTAATTATATAAATTCAATATTTAAAATATTTAAAATATTTCATTGTTATTCACATTGTATAGTTTTTAAATATTTTGATTATCATAGATCACAAATATATGATTTTATAAATATACAACTCACATTTTGTGCGATTCATAATTCAACCCATATCTTATTTTATATATATCATAAATTTGACGTAAATATACTTTTTAATTCACCAAATTTCTATCATGCATTTCCTTGTCAGTACTACGAACAGTACGAATTATTCATGTGTTGGTTATGTTATTAGGATTTTAAAGTTCTTTAAAATTAGATAAAATAACCAATTAAAACTGTACGTAATGTGTATGTGCGAACCAATCAAAATTTTGAAATAAAAATATCAAACTTCAAAATCATTTTCATAATAATGCTGTTGTATTTAAAAGATATATAATTATAAAAATGTTATAAATGTTTTTTTAGATATATGTTTATAAAAGAATATATATTTTTTATATAAATATATAATTTTCTAAGAAAATATAATACAAATAATTTTTTTTTAATATCAAAATATTCAAATCATAGATAAAATATCTTTGTAAATATATCTGTAATAATCCGTAAATAATCAATTAAAATATAAAAATACAATTTAATATATATATATATATATATATATATATATATAATATATAAATAATTA